GTGGCATCTCCGGCTTACTTAGTAAGGAGTAGGTGCTGAAGTTACGGGTGTCATTTGGACCATTATTACAAGCGAATGCTGCCCTCCTGAATGGAATGAAACTATTAGTTGTGGCGCCATTTACGTGATATCCAAAAAGCGTTTGTTTTTTTCTAACAGCACGGAGTTTGGCATTCCCTAAGAAGTGCATAAAAGCATACAGGCAAACGCGACCGAACCTGACAAGTATGGTCTTTGGCGGTCGTCAGCTTATTCGAACGTTAACTGTGTAATTTAAGTTGAGCACAGTCAGTTGCCACCTAAAAGGCACAGTTAAACCATGTATTTACTGACCAGTGGGAAGGTGCCTTTGATAAGATCGACGTCTAGACTCAGAGCTTTCGTGACAGCCCTGAATCTCAGGAACAATAGTGCCCGGGTACCTTATAAATATGATAATGGGCTTTAAGGGCAGTTTACTGAACTATCACAGTACGTGTATATTTTATGACTTTAGGTAAGAATAGTTAGTGGGACATCAGTCTATTATTTCAAAACATTTTATACCATAATTTAGAGGTTTGTTTCCAGTGCGATTTGTGGAGCTAGTAAAACGTCTACTAACCGAGACGGGGATAGTAGATTGTATCTTAAAGGAAACCCAGCATATGGCAGTGATATGAACACAAGAAGACGGCTTGATACCATGGGATGTTTATTTAATTCAGATCAGATTAAACCGTTGGATAACTTGCCATGCTGGCAATTCCACACATATTGTTTAGGTTGCGGCCCATTTTGATGTATCCATCTTCACCCCAGGAACGTCCCCAACTGTTCTTTACTAGCCAGTAATCCTGACCGTCCTCTGTTCCATAGCCAATAGCCAGAACACCGTGATCAATCCCAGCTGCCGTGCAGGTTTTGCTAACATACACACCGTGGCTGAAAAAATATACCCATTGTTATAAATAAGAAAAGTTAGAAGACTTCTAGCGGTGAGCTCTCTTACCGATTGTCTACGTAAAAGAATTTTTTCTAGGCAGAAGAACATTATCAAAATACTGGCCAATCATCCCCAACTCACGTCTTTCATCAGTCGAGGCTCAAATCCGTGACCTATTGATAAGAAGTCCAAAGCTGTACACACTGAACCGCGGCTTCCTTGTCTTGGTGGTCTCAGTGGAGAAACTTAGCACTGGCGGAAAGGCGCTGAACAATGGCCAATCCAGTGTCCTTAGTGTTCTTCTACCTATACAACTTGCCCCAGTGTGTCAGCTGCTTAAGCTAAAAAATGAGCCTAACG